CTGCAGGAAACAGCAGACGAGCTGAATGAGACGCAGATTCACTCTCTCCAGCAGGTGGCGCTTAAAGCGTTTCCGCTGTAAACAAAGAAGCGCTGCACATATGAACTAGATGCAAGATGAAAAGAAAAAATACCATCTACACTTTTCTAAAGACAGTAAGTTCCCCTCGGACATACATTCATATAAACTCCTACCCCTAAATGAATCGCGATATGTTTACCATCTCAACCGATTTGAATCGTCACATATTTGAATCGATTTTCAACCGGCTCGCGGTTAATCGTTACATCCCTACAAAATAATAATAATAATAAACAGTCTAACTCATGAATCTAATCTGTTCTTGTACTTCTTCAGACTTGCCACATCGCTATGGATCTTGAAGATGCTTGTTGACTTCCCTCTCCCACACCTCCTCCCCTTGTCATGGAGTTTGACCCGAACCACCTCCGTGACCCCTGCAAACCTGTGGACGACAACGTCGAGCCCCCCGATCTGGAGTGCGCCATCTGTTTCTGCCAGTTCAACAATGTCTTCAACACCCCTAAGGTACTTCAATGCAAGCACACCTTCTGCCTGGAGTGTCTTGCGAGGATGAACGTGAAGTCCACCCAACCCGACACCATCCAGTGCCCTCTGTGCCGCGCATACACCCCGTTACCCGACTTGGGTCTTCCCAAGCTAGCAAATGACTCCACGGTGCTGTCTTAAAAGCATTTCCTTGGTTTCCGCTGTAAACAAAGCAGCGCTGCACTTATGAACTTTAATATGCATTATACAGAGGCAAGATGAAAAGAAAAAATACCATCTACACTTTTCTAAAGACAGTAAGTTCCCCTCGGACATACATTCATATAAACTCCTACCCCTAAATGAATCGCGATATGTTTACCATCTCAACCGATTTGAATCGTCACATATTTGAATCGATTTTCAACCGGCTCGCGGTTAATCGTTACATCCCTACAAAATAATAATAATAATAAACAGTCTAACTCATGAATCTAATCTGTTCTTGTACTTCTTCAGACTTGCCACATCGCTATGGATCTTGAAGATGCTTGTTGACTTCCCTCTCCCACACCTCCTCCCCTTGTCATGGAGTTTGACCCGAACCACCTCGGTGACCCCTGCAAACCTGTGGACGACAACGTCGAGCCCCCCGATCTGGAGTGCGCCATCTGTTTCTGCCAGTTCAACAATGTCTTCAACACCCCTAAGGTACTTCAATGCAAGCACACCTTCTGCCTGGAGTGTCTTGCGAGGATGAACGTGAAGTCCACCCAACCCGACACCATCCAGTGCCCTCTGTGCCGCGCGTACACCCCGTTACCCAACTTGGGTCTTCCCAAGCTAGCAAATGACTCCACGGTGCTGTCTTACTTCCCAGCTGCCATGCAGCATGTCTACAGTATCCGCTTTAACCGCAACAAAGGCAAACTGCATGTGAAGAGAGTGCCCAGCTCTGCCCCGACCCTGACGCAGACCGTCAGCCAGACTCTGGACGTCGGGAACCCAGCGGGCTTGGAGGGTCACCAGGGCAGAGACGGGGGTAGAGAAAGGTCTTTACTGATCACCGTACTGCAAACGCCCCTGTGCAAAGCTTTCATCATGAGCCTGGTGGCCATACTGATCGTCGTTCTCACCATTACTATTATCTTCATCAACAAGAAATAAGCCCAAATACTTCGGTTTTTACATGTACGCTAGAGCAGTGAATCTCAACCTTTTGGCGTACCGGACCCCAGTCCAATTCAGAACCATCCTCAAGGACCCCCAGAACAAAATTGACTCGTATCATTTGTGTCTTTGTGAGGACCAAATGCAGTCAAGTATAATTCAAGTTAGCTGACTTGTCCAGTATTTGGCCATATCATCAGCTATATTGGATTTTTCTTTCATGGGAACATGTCATGTCAAAATATACAAAATTTATACAAAAATTCATACTTTATACGGACCCCCTGGCCTTATGTCAAGGACCACTAGGGGTCCACGGACCCCTGGTTGAGAAACACTGCGCTAGAGCATGCGTGCAGTGCGCGTGACACGAATATCGCACACAGCTTGTTTTTTTCTAATGGTTTGTACAATGTACGCACAGCTCGCACATGTGCTTTGAATTTTTGCACTAATCAGTTTGTCCAGAAGGTGGCGACACTGGCCCGGCTGTTTCACAGTCGGAAAAGAAACGGAACAAGAACAACAACAAACTACCACGACAAAAACAATATAGACTTCTGAGTTGACAAGCGATTGATTGACTGATTAAAATACACCAGCGACTCTAGTTTAACAAATACAAAGACATTTTTATTGCTCAAAACTTTTGGAGAGGAAAAGCGCAGACACTGGACAAGGATGAATCTTTCGATTGCGCATAAATGTCTTTGAAAGGCTGAGTGTTCGGCTGTTTAGAGTACACTTTATGGGCTTTATTATCACTGGCACTGACTGCATCCGCGTCAAAAGGTCAAATGACAGCGTAAAAAACAAACAAACAGCATGACAAACACATTTTTGAATCTTTCCATCCTAGGCAAATCAGAATTTCCCCCAGAAGCATAGTGGTTACAAAAAAGTACTGTGATTGTACCACAGTATTTACGTGGTAGTACTATATGGTAAATGCACAAAACACTATAGCACCCTACAGACAATAATCTGGTGGTATGAGATGGTATGGTACTTTAAACATACACTGGTACTCTTTGGTACACTCTTGTCATTGTGTTTTCTGACTTGTTCTAATGTTTTCTGAATTGTTGTTGTGTTTTCTGAATTGTTATTTTGTTTCTTAGACTTGCATTTGCGTTTGTAATTTGTTATTTTGTTTTCAGAATTGTGATTTGTTTTGCACTTCTCGGCCACCGTACAGCACAGCTATTAAAGTCTTTTTGTCTTATTGTGCAAAGCGATTACATAGCGATAGCATTATAAAAGTTGGTCAGAGTCCTGTAGAAACGACAAAAAGTGCGCAAATGTGTTGCCCCGCGCGTCCAGCAGATGGCGTCCTCTCGCCAGCGTTCATTCACGGATGCTGCCCGAACTTTACCGAGCCTTCAGTTATGAGCCGCCTACGCAATGGAAAAGTACCAGAGCACGTGAAGCGGCCCCCCTCGGACTCTCTTTCCTTGTATGGCTGGCAAAACCAAACAAACCAGTAAAAAGATTATAAGTGCCATCTGAAACTCTTGAAACCGCAGAAATGGGGAAATTAATTTCTGTGTAAGAGGATGTGAGGAAAAAATGAAGGAAGTAAAGTAATAGCCTAAGTTGCACTGAACAAGCTGGACTTTTTCAGAATTTTTATTTTTTTTCTCAGAAATTAATACATCATCCCTGTGCTATAGAAAATATCTAAAAAATAGCACAGCATGAGCACAATGACTCAATAAGGTCTCTTTTGGTAAAATTGGCTAAAATTAACATCATGATCCACAATCAACACGTCTCCATTTTAACTTTAAACCATCATTCCAACTAAAATACAAATCCATAAACCATAACAACGCTTCCGCCAGTGAAAAAGTCAATCCCCTGTTGTCCTCTCGCATCAAAATCCTCCAACATATTTGTTTAGAACTGTTTAGGACTCTTTTCGCATGTAAACTGTGCTTGATCTGTGCATATTTGCACTCCTGATTCAGACGAGACGACTTTTTCACTGGAGAAAGCAATATTATGGATAGAGGAAACAGCTGGAAACAACAGTTTAAAGTTGAAACATCTTAACGATGGATTCATTATAAACAAGCAGCTTTTCCCTTCTCACAATGTTAACTGATAGACTGTCGTGTGGAGTACTTGTGGATTTTTGTGATGTTTTTATCAGCTGTTTGGACTCTCATTCTGACGGCACCCATTCACTGTGAGCAAGTGATGTAATGCTAAATTTCTCCACATCTGTTCCAATGAAGAAACAAACTCATCTACAACTTGGATGGATAAGCAAATAAAATTTTTTGGATGAAATATTCTTTTATTAACTAATGTTTAAAATGAGACGTTATTGTAAAGTGTTTCAGAAACATCTGGTCTTAAAATAAATGTTACCGTCTGGACTGACTTTAAGGCATGCCGGTTGTTTCTGTGTGGATTTGAATCAGATATGCACAGACATTACAAGTTCTGGTCTGGAGACTGTTTGATTGTACTGTAGAGATGATTTTAATGTACAGTAGTAAGGTAAACGTTTGGTTTGACTGATTACCAGTGATTCTTTCAGCCGGTGATGTCAGAATGCAGCGTCACTGTCTTGTGACACATCTCTGCCTTTGTATGGTCGCACTTGCAGCTAATGCTAATGTACGTCAGATGATGTTTAAACCAACACAAAGACTGAGCAGACTGGATTTTAGCAGTCTGTTTGTGTTACTGTTCTGCTTGTGTACAGCATGTGATCTACAATGCACAATTGTGCTTCTGCTTTGAATGTGTTACTGATGTAGAAGTGTGTGTGTGTGTGTGTGTGTCCGCTTCAGTAAACTAGTGTGTGCTGGTTATGTGTCCTTCATGGGAACTGGCACACGTTTTGTCTGTTCCTTTTCTTTGTTTTTTGCTGAGGTCAGATTTGTTTTGCATGTTGAGTCTGTGTGTGTGTGTGTGTGTGTGTGTGTGTGTGCTATACGAGAATGAGGGTCATGGCACACTACATAAAAAGCTTTTATTTATGTCCAAGTACTATTAATTAATGTTTAACACAGTTATTACTGTCTTTATGTTTGCAAGTGTTTTTTCTTACAACAGCGCAAGTCTCTATAAGCAAGAAAAAACTCTTTATTTTCTTTTGAAAAACTGGTTTGTACTGATAATGTATAAACCTCTCAGATAGTCTAACATATACGTATAAAAGACAGATCTACAACAATCTCTGAAATTAAGTAATGATATATGCAAGTCAGTGTAATTTCAGCTTTATTAAAAAAATGATTAATATCCAAATTATGAGTACTAGGAAGTATATATCCCGTAAGATGTTTTGAGAAGTTTTTGAAAGAAGTCTCTTATGCTCTGCATTTGTTAAAAAAATACAATATATATATATATATATATATATAAACAATATATTAAAATAACGGATTTCTACTTGAATATATTGTAAAATGTAATTTATTCCTGTGATGAAAAGCTGAATTTTCAGCATCATTACTCCAGTCTTCAGTGTCACATGATCCTTCAGAAATCATTCTAATACGCTGATTAGCTAGAAACATTTATTATTATTATTATTATCAGTGTTGAAAACAGTTGTGCTGCTTAATATACCGTGATACGTTTTTATCAGGATTCTTTGAAAGTTCAGAAGAACAGCATTTATTTGAAACATTTTTCAAGTCTTTACTATAACTTTTGAAAAAAAAAAATTTTTTTTAATTAGAATAACAACATTTTTATACTGTACCATTCATTTGTAGAATTTCTGTGCATTTTTTTTTTCTTTCAATTTTAATTTTTGCTCAAAGTTTGTAGCTATAAATCTCAGAGCTGCTAAGGATAATTATTACAATGTTTTATTAAAGACTTTTGAAACTTTCATCCCTTTGGAGAAAATTAAATCCCTGTCCCTGCTTTACTGAACAACAGGGACAAAAAAAAACAATGTCATCCTATGAAATGCATGAAAAATGAAACACCCTGCTAAATTTCTCTGCTCTTTCAGTCAGATGAGCGAGTCGCTCTTGTGTCTCTGATGTAAAGGCCAATATAATTCACCACAGACAAACACGCAGCGTTACTCACCATCACTCCCACATACAGTGGGTTTTCCTGATGCCTTTCTCTGAGTGGATGAGTAATCTGTCACCTTTCTATCTGAAGAACAGGAAACACTCTCCCCCTCTTATATATATGTATACATAGAGAGAGAGAGAGAGAGATGCATCTCTTTTTATGCTTTATTTGAACATTCAGGTTACAGTGTGGTACAACACAATTAGAACATAGCAATAATTATAAACAATAATAGCAATAAAAAGAATAGTTAAAGAAAAACATTTAACAACCAACACCAATGCTCAAAACAAACAGAGCTAGACAGTAACTAAAAAAAAGAAAAAAATAATAATAATATAAAGAAAGAAAGAGCATTACTTATTGAAAAAAGATATATTATTGTGTAAAATTATTGTCTAAAATATTACACAGTTAAAGAGTTATAGGCTGTGCAAATTGTACATGTTCTGGATGTTTGTTTGTTTTTATGAAAAAGAGAAATTGTACTCAAATAATGTTTTCTGTCTTTTAAGAATACCAAAAATCGTTTCAAGAGATGCATCTCATGAGGATAGTGGCCAGTCTCAGTGGCATCACAGTGACACAAGTTCTAAATATTCGAGCCTTCAGTCTCATGTAGCGGTGAATTCTCTCTCGAGCTCAGTGTGTCTGTAACTACAGGACGGAAAGGTAAGTTCAGTACCGACGGTCAAGTTAGGTTTCTTTGTGAAGCTTCGCTCGTCGAGTCTGAGTCTGAAAACAGTCTGAAATACCCTTCACTTCACTATGATCAAGTTATAAACTTATAACTGATCACGCTTTATTGGCTCTCCGTGACTATTTTAATGGGACAAACACATGTCGCTGGAAAAAAAATGCTCATAGGACTGGTAAAGTTGTATACTGTCTATATAGCCTACTGTCTGGCAGTGGTGTAGTTGTGCCCGGAGAAATGGGTATACTCTTAATTTATGCCCCCAATTTTTTTT